ATTCATTTGTACTCTTCTCTTTACTAAAATACAATTTCAAAACCTCTTTCTATTGTTTTTTGCTGTGGATTTTTGCTATAATTCTGGCTAAACATAATTTAGCAATAGCTATTCTAGAGCCTGAGCACTACAGTAGTTTTAAATATTCTCTGGAAAGTAAAGTAGTTCATTACTTTAAAATTCAGCAACACTAATTTTAAGAGACTATTTAGCAGATAATATCCAGATCCTCATAGTCAGAATTTATCACCAATCACTATTTTTAGCCTCTGAAGCCTCATTAGCAAATTCTTTATATCCAGATTTCTATCAGTCCTCTTGTCTTTCTCCCTTTCACCAGCCCATTAAGCACTGCTTTCTTCATTCTGGGGCTTCCTGAACCTGAAACTCTGAATTCTTCCACATTCATTTTGAAAGCCAGTTCTAAAGCTCTATGAACCACATGGGCAGGTTTATCTCAGCAGCATCCTCACTTTTGTATTGTTTTTGTATTTTATACTGTAATTTCTATGTTAGTTTAGTTATGTTAGTTTCTCATTAGTGATAAAAGGAACTCATTGGAGCAATAATTCAGGTCAACTCCTATCACTGTAAAGCATGCAAAGTTCAAGACAGGATACAGCTGGGCAGTTTCACTTCCTGGTATATCTGGAAGGAAATCATAAAACCAAAAGCAAGACTAGGCTATAAACACACACTCAAGGTCTGGTCAAACTGCCCTATCTTTGAGTAGCAGGTCTTTTCCCAGAAATGTTCCACAACTTTCCAAAATATCAGCTAGAAACTATGCATCTATGGAGGACTGATGGATGGATGGATGCATAGATAGATAGATAGATAGATAGATAGATAAATAGATAGATAGACAGACAGATAGGTAGATATATGATAACAAGACAAACATCAAAGATAGGTGACAGATTATAGACAAATATAGACAGGTTCTAGTTATGTTTTATATAAATAAATAGGTATAAGGTATATTTGTATCAGATAGATCTATGGTAAACAGATTTATGATAGATATAATCTAGATGATAGGTAGACACAGTTCATAGGCAGATGACAAATGATAGAAGATAGAGGCTAGAAAGATGACAAAGGGATAGGTAACAAATAATACCTTTTATTTAGTTCATTTTCTTATTTGACAACTCAGCTCCAAATCTCAAAATATTCTTAAAATATAAAATATCTACATGGAAAAATATAACAAAGCAAACATGAACATTTGACTGCACACATACTGACATATTTTTAGGAATATAATGAATATACTAAAATTAAAGTTCCAGTTTTATACATGGCAAATATTGAAATCAGCCATATTAAAGAAAATGTGTCGGTAGGGCTGCAGGAACAAACCTTGGAGAGATAAAAATCACTGTTCTAGAAAACATGGCACACTGACTATAAAAGTGGACTTCTTACGAGAGAACAGGACAAAGCCTGCCACAGAGTACACATAGCTAACTGTTTTGAGGTGGATGTGTTTCAGTCATGAAGCTACTATGAAATTACCTGGACATGTGCCTCTATTTTGGATCACTCAAGGAATGTGACACTCCATACCATTACATACCACAGATTGAAAGGAAGGAGACCATTTCTACTACAGTAGGAAAGGATAAGTAATAATGACTATTTCTTAAGAACCAAATGGTGCTTCTAGGAATAAAATTAAATTTCTCTTTATCTTAATTGTAATTAAATTTCAATATATAGAGTATATGTAAATATTTGCTCATTCCTATAGCTTCTAGACATAATTTAACTTTCTTTTGAATTACTCTTATTCATTTTGCAAGGATTTGTTCAGCCATATACATGTCTAGTTGCTTTATGATTCTGCACGTCTCTTCAGTTTCATTTTGCTCATATTTTAGTATAAACCATTAAAAAGCTGAAAGAAAATAATGAACAATAATTAGTTGATTGCAAAATACCTACTAACTTTCAAAGACTCAATGATGAACATGCTTTCCTCTGGAGATTACACTGTGATGTATAAACCAACAATAGAATTCTGTGATTCCCATGCAGTCTGGTGACTCTTCAATCACAGGAGACATTTCCCAAATGTACTGTTATGGCAGTTTCTTTCCTGTCAGGTCCTGCCACTGTTTTAGCCCCAAATAAACACACTGAGATGCTATATTAATTATAAAATTGTTGGCCAATGGTGGGGCTTCTTACTGGCTAGATCTCTCTTAATTATTTACACATAACTACTAATCTATTTATTTCTACATGGCCTTTTCTTATTGAAGAATACCTGGTGCATCCTATCTTCCCTGTCAGCTAAATGTCATCTCTTCCCAGTCTCTCTCTGCCTATCTTTCCCAGAATTCCTCTTGTCTCCTAGCCCTGCCTATCTTCCTGCCTTATTGGCCAACAGTGTTTTATTCATCAGCCAATAAGAGAAACATAATACAGAAGAACATCCCCCATCCATGCACGCTACAGATCTTTATTCTTGTCTTTAGATTTTGCTTTATACTTTATTTGTATGAATGTTTTCCTGGCACACATCTGTGTGTACCACGTGCACGAATATTGAAAACAGGGTTATAGATAGTTGTGAGCTATCGTGCTGGGAATTAAACTTGGGTGCTCTGAAAGAGCAGCAAGTGTTCTTACCCTCTTAGTCATCTCTTCAACCCTTTACAGATTTGTAACCAGTAAATTGTACATATGAAGCATATATGGATAATAGCAACCTTTATCAGACCCATGAACATAAAACATGTCCTGTGGACAACAGATGAAGACATGTAAGATCTCTGTGCATACAGACATTGACATTGGCAAGTAACAATAGTTCTTGCTTTTAGAGTTACTGTTGTTATACACTGAAATAAAATTGTAAAGCTATGTAGTTATTTGATTATTTAATTGGAACATAATATAGGAAACACGTGTAAAAGTTAAACATGGTACAATTTAATGTATTCTTTATGTTTTCCAGCTGTTGTCCTCATTGTGACTGTCAGGGAGTATCACTCTCAATACCAGCGTTTGGTTTTTTTTGTGTTTTGCTTTGTTTTGTTTTGTTGTTTTTTCAAGACAGGGTTTCTCTGTATTGCTTTGGAGGCTGTCCCAGAACTCACTCTGTAGACCAGGCTGGCCTCGAACTCACAGAGATCTACCTGCCCCTGCCTGCCTAGTGCTGGTATTAAGGGCATGCACCACCAATGCCCAGCTAATGCTAGTGTTTGTTATAACTTCTTATTTTAAAGCTGTGCCTTCATTTCATCTGTAAATTGGAGGCAATACGAAGCAGGTGGTGAGTATTCAACTGATTTTACCTGGAACATATACATGTTTGACTCTTGTTAAGATGTGTTTCTTTGGCCGGATAGATGGCTCGGGGTTAAGAGCATAAGCTGTGCTTGAGGATTTGAGATTGATCCCCCCATTCACATGACAGCTCCTCACCATCTGTGACTGATTTCCAAGGGACTCAGTGCTCTTTCTAGCCTCTACAAGCACCAGCTGTGCATGTGGTGCACAGGTACATACGTGCTTCGTATTAAATTGAGCTACCAAATAACTGATTTGTACACACCATAATGATAAATACAGTATGTTTTTCCACTTCACATCCCAAAGGAACTTTCCCCACAGCAGAGATTGTGTTCATTTGTTATCTGATATCTTCAAAGTGTATCAAAGAGATTGATGAGAGTGTAAGAGTGTCATTATTTTTACAGAGTTCAGGACTTTTAATTTGTCCTAAAGTCACTGAATCAAAAAAATTATGATAAAACATTTCTTTGCAGTACTCAATGCAAAAAGAAAAGGAAAAAGAAAATATTTGTAGGAAGAAATGGTTTTGTACATGGAAGGAAACAATGTAAATTCAAAATGTACAGGTGAGGGTTAGCTCTATCACTCATCTTTAAAAAGTTTATATGAATAACTGGTCAAAACCAATAGGGATCTCTCTCAAAATATTATCTATATGGATTCCAAGTAGACCACACAGCTGTATAAAGGTATTGGAATGTCCTCAGAAGACTCTGTAACTCAATAGGTAACATAAAAAAAGCTCCAGAATCATTTCTTTCTAATGAAGAGGAAAATACTGGGATTAAGTTTCATCTTCTTTCCTTGTGACTTTAAGTCTCTTCCTTCTCCTACCACCTAGGAATCCTCCTAGACTTCAGAAGTCTTATGAATTCTGCCAGAAAATTATCCTACTCCTGCTTGACCCCTAGCTCATACTCCAAAACCTCCTCTGCCTCCACTTAGACCACCAAAGCCACCTTCACCCTTAAGTTTGGTTCAGTCCAAGGTTTATTTCCAACAGTTTCTCCATCTTCCATAAGCTCCATGGCAACTTTGGCATCTTCCTTGTTACTGAAACTCTACAAAGCCAAACTCTTTGGAGGAACCAGTTTCCCAATCACCGACTATTTTTGCTCAGACAGAACCCTCATATGATTCGGTGGTACCCTCTCACAGATTTTGGCAGAAGCTTATATGGCTGACTTCTGGCAATAGGCAATACCCTGGTTACTTGTAACTCCAGCCTGATTGTTCTGCCCTTGATTTCCATTTTATTCCAGGAGTTTATAGATTCTTTAGCATCTTCAAGTGAAGCAAATTCTATAAATGTATAGCCTTTATGTTTGCCATTTGGGTTCTGAGCACTTTGATAAAAGTTGCTTACTCAAACACTCCTGTAGAGTTTCTTCTATTACACAGTAGGAAAGGTTATGTAAAACAAACGTTTTTGATTCACCACTCCAAGTGCTACTCTTTCCAACTCTCTCTTGCCTTTGTCATTTCTAACCAGTGTAGTAAAGTGAAACACACTGCCCATCAGTTTCTGCCCCCTTACTTTTCTTCATAATTCTTATCTATCAACTTCTGTCTTAAATTCAATATAAGCAATACCTTCACTCTTCCCATCCTGGCAGACAAATCTAATCTCTATGGCACCTTCCAGAACTTCCTTTAATTCATTCCCAATGATGTGGAAAGAGCAATTTTAAAAAAATATGAAATGCTTCATGAATTTGTGTCATCCTTGTGCAAGTATTTTGCTAATATTCTCTCTATTATTCCAATTTTAGTATATTACTGCCAAAACAACCACAAGGATGTCAATGATATCCTTTATCTTTTCTGTTCCTCAGAAAGTACAAAAGGGAGGGTGTATATTTATGTCTTTTAAACAAGGTAAGGGCAGAAGAAAAGCACAACTCTCAATTCCTTCTAGACTTTAATGAAGTTAGACTTATGTGTCAAGAAAAATTATTTAACTACAGTTTTCAGTCCACGCCCAGCATCCTTTTGAGTTAATATGTGAACTGGAGTGCTTTATTTTCTATGGGTTTGCTAATATTCCATAAGCCTTATTAGTCTCACTTGCAATAAACATTGTACCATGTTTATTTATTAAGGATTTTTCAATAATTTTTGAGCACATGATTTTTGTGATAATGTTTTCTTATTAAGGAGTGAAGTTACTTGTGGAAATCTATGTGAGTACCACATAGAAGCTCTAAAGATGCTGGCTGTGTTTCTTGTACTCTCCCCAAATTCTGTTCTACTTTTGGGCTTCTTGGAACCTAGGAGTTGAATCTTCAACTGTTTCTCCTATGTGGCCCTTTGCAACCAAAGCTTCAAGCTCAGAAAACAGCATTCATGAACTTATATTTCTCCCTCCTACTGAAACATACTCCAGATTGATGAGGGAGCATTATATTTAAATGAGTTTGCCAAAGAAGCACATGTTCACACTTCCCAGTAGACAAGCATGAACCTCCCCATAGAGAGTTGCACATGTCACTTGTACATTTCCTTGATTAGGGTTTTTTTTTCTTTCTTAGTGTTCCTAGTGAGAATGTGATAATGATATTTCAGTTCCCAGAGGTAAACAGCTTGCTTTGAAGGAACAGAATGTGCATAACCCTCTAGGTATCTTTTGTAATGTTGCAAGATATTTTCTGTCTAGTTGAGAAAATGGAGCATGTATTTATTACATCTTGGACAAACTGGGGATTAATATAAAAAAAGAAGGGTGTGATTCCTGTTTTTGAGAAATGAAGATCATTAAATTAAAGCTTAGTATTTGAGAATTATGCATATCCAATGGGGAAATTTCCCATTAGGCCTCACTAATGCAAAAATTTAACATAAGTTATTGTTCTTAATTTCAAAGATAGGAATTGTAAGGCACTTTTTAAAGATGTATTATATAATAATGCCTATTTCCTTTTTTAGAGTGTGAAGCTGACATCGACATCATATTTTACATCATATGACCACATAAATTTGTGTCTGTGTGTAAAACCTATTTCTCTAATTTTAATGATATGTATTTTTCTTGTTTCTCTGTATCTCTCTCCAGCCACAAAAAAGTTCTCCAGGAATCCATGAGAGCTCCCGAGTTCAGGCAACAAAAGAAGAGAAGAGAAGAACCTCTGTGTGTGGTCCTCAAGATGTAAGAATAACCTAAACTGGTTTGGAAAGAAGGACCCAACATTTGGCAATGGTAGCTCACACCATCGTGAAATGTTCTCTGTGGGGTGGAGGGGTGTCTTCTTTCTAAGCACTATAACTTTCTATGTGATGACACAGATGTTGCCTAGACAGCATCAGGTAGATGCTCTTCTTGATTGTATAGCCAGATTCTGCTGTGAAACTCATAGCACAGTATCAACACCATATTATTCCTACAACAAGATAGACAGCAATCTGGGAATCCAGTGGAAATGATGAAAGAGGCAATACATGGGCAAGGGAGGTCAAGATCATGAAGAGCACACCTACAGAGACAGCTGATCCAAACTCATGGGAACTCATGAACTCTAAACCTACAATGATGGAGCCACCATGGGACCAACTAGACCCTCTGCATGTGGAGACTGTTGTGAAGCTTGAACTATCTGAGGTGCCCTTGGCAGTAGGGCCAGTATCTATCCCTGGTGCATGAGCTAGCTTGTGGGAGCCCCATTCCCCACCGTGGGATGCATTGCTCAGTCTTAATGCAGGTGGGAGAGGCTTTGGTCCTCCCTCAACTTAATGGGCCAGATTTTGTTGACCTCCCATAGGAGCCCTTTCCCTGGGGGATGACCTGGGATAGAAGGCAAGGGTTGGTGGGAGAAGAGGGGGAGAACTGTGATTGAAATGCAAAATTAAATTTAAAATACCTTAAAAATGAAAAAAAAGATAAACAGCAATCACAGAGTTAAAGCAGAACAAGGAAACCAACAAAAGAGATTCTATAGTATTCACCACCTAAGAGAAACAAATATGCCATTACAGAACAACACACTAGACAAAGGGGCATCCTCCACTGTCTTATGATAAAGAGACAGAAACCTAAACTGTATTTGGCAGGGGGGTTCCCTCTTTATAAGTACAATAAAAAACAAAACATCAACCCTTGAATTCTGCTGGAACGAAGGTTTCAGATCTGTTATGACAGATATAACAAATGAAATTTTTGTTAACCAGATTCAGATACAGGCTCTAGCCCAAAGACAAATTATATGCTGAGACTGCCCATGGCTAAAGGAAATTAGTTAATATCTAAAGGAAATAAGGAAGAGGGAAAAACAAATAAATTGGTACTTACATTTTTTCTTCTGCTGGCTCCTAACATGCATCTTGAAAAAATAATTTTTCAATGTGCTTGCCCCTGAATCTTTGTATATATTACCTTGTATCTAAACCATATAATTTAGGATATAGAGTTAATCAAGAGTAAAAGCAACACTCTGCAATTGACTTCCACAGGGAGTCCAGAAGGATATGTGTAGGAAGGAATGACTTTGCAGTAGTCTGAAGTATAGATAGATCTTTACCAATGATAGCAAATTTTCCCAAACAGAAAATATACCAGAGCACTATGGATACAAAATAGAATATAGAAAGCGTGGAGATACTCAAAACACAGGTTAATCAGGAACCACAAAGTAAGGACTTGGATTCCCTCATTAGAAAATTTAGTTTGAATTATAAAATGTTTTCAAATGATTGTCAGCATAGGAACAAAACAAATGCCAATGTTTTTTATCATTTTTTAAATTTAAAAACAACCGTTTTACATAACAATCCAGTTCCCACTCCCTTCCCTCCTCCTTTTATCTCCTCCTCCCCTGAACCACCCCCATCCACTCTTCAGAGAGGGTAAGGTTTCCTATGGGGAGTCAACAAACTCTGGCACATCACTTAGAGACAGGACCAAGGCCCTCCGTCCTATATCTGGACTGAGCAAGGTATCCCTCCAAAAAGAATGAGCTCCAAAAAGCCAGTTCAAGTACTAGGGATAAATCCTGGTCCCGCTGCCCTCATACTGTCCAAGCCACACTACTGTCACCCACATGCAGAGGACATAGTTTGCTCCCATGCTCCCAGTCTAGCTGAAGAGGGGGAGGAGCAATAACATGAGCAAAGGTGTCAAGACCAGTTGGGGGATACTCACAGAAACAGCTGACCTGATCTAGTAGGAGCTCACTGACTGGACTGACAGTGGAGCAAATGTCAATTTATAGGAGGGTATTTGCCTGTTTATAAGACAAACTGAAAAGTTTTGCTTTGTTCACCGATGCTCTAAGCATCACTTTAGTTTACCTTTTTACAAAAAGATGGGCCTGTCAAAATTGTGTGTGTGTGTGTGTGTGTGTGTGTGTGTGTGTGTGTGTTACTATTATCCCCCTCTCCTAATCCTAGTGTTCTCCTTCATAAACTTCTCTTCCTTTGACAATTCTGATGAGCATGTCCCTCCCTGGCACTCTCTTCACTGGCACCAGTGGGAGCATTGTCTCTAGCCTTACTTCAGTCTCTCAGCCTTCCAAAGTTATAATTTCTAGTGTAGAGTGATCAGCCAGAGTGATAGAGAAAATGTACACCAGATAAATTACTCAGGTGTAAGAAGAAGGAATTAGCAGCGATGTATGAATATCAATTTTCAAGTTTTAAACTAGGAGTTCTAATCTGTGACTTCAGAATATCACCTGGAGAACACTTCAAAATATGGCTTCAGAGGACTTTGCAGAAAAGTTAACTCAGCACTCCCATGGGTGGGATCTGTACAACTGATGTGTTTATCTCAAATACTCCAGGTGATTTTGTGCTACAAATAAATTTCACTATCAGTTGTTTTCAAATAGAAATAATGACAAAATTATCTGGGGGCATCATTCACATTTTGAACAACTACTTGGAGTGTTCTAAATAAATAAAGCTGAGAAAGTTTGTAAAGCTTTTGGGGCCTGATGATTGTCATCTAGGAAGCTGAGTGATCATTAAGCTCAGTATAAGCTTATTGGAGCCTCACAGTCCTTAATCACATGCATACAGGTATACATTCATGCATATATGGATGCATATATTAAATTATCATTTAATAAATGTCAAATTCTGGAAGTAGATTCCTGCACCCTTATCAAATTCATATAAAATGTGCCATCACTAATACAGGAACTTGTATAAAATTACATTTGAATATATAACTAGAACAACAAAAGAAATAAATAACTTGCTACTGAACGATATACCATAGGGGCTATGCCTTTACTAAACCAATGCTCTTTAAACTACATGGGCCACATGTATTTAGGATTGTGTGCATTGAGTGTAAGCTGATCACCCAAACACAGAGCCTGGGTACCATTTATTGTGAGCACTAAGGATGTGAGGACCCTTTCCACAAGCTCACATTGAGAACACTACATTTCTGACTTTTTCCAATTAGCATATGAGTGTTGGAGTACTTTTGCAGCCATGGGAACTATTTGAGTATAACTGTCTACACTCGGAGCATCAACATCCTGAGCTGTTTTAAGCCTTATGAGAGTGTGACAGCCATTTCAGTCTAGCAATAGGGAAACACTTTCAACATCATTATGCATGCTGATAGAGAGTCAAGCTCCACTTTGGTTTCTTTAATTGGATATATAAACTGACAGAAAAGAGAATTTAACTTAAATGACTAAACACACAAGAATTATTTTCTTTCCTTGCACTCCAACATTTAGACTTGCAATCCCTGATGAACCTTTTTAAAATTCATTATTTAATTACTTAGCCAGTTGTCCTAGCTCTCACATTTTTTATGAAAAAGCTACCCTTTATACATCAAATTTTTATCCTTTTCAACAAATGTTAATTGATGACAAGTATGAGTTTATTTTTCTGCTTTCCAGATTGCTTCGGATTCTATATGCTTATCATTTATATACTTTCATACTATCTTTTTATTAATTCATTTAACTGTAACTATGATTAATACTTACTATATTTTGAGATTATGATATACTTGTAATATAATTATATCTCTTTACTCCAAACTCTCCCATATATCCCTCTTTGCTCTTTCAAATATGCATATATGCTCCTACATACATAAACATAACCTGCTAATCCTGTAATATATGCATGTATTTGTATGTAAACCTTAGCACTTACCATTTGATGTTAGACAAGCAGGTAGTGCATTCATCCCTAGGGAATTACCATATTATCTTAATACCTATATCCTCATAAAAGTTCTGAAAATAGGAAGTTAAAGCCCTAAAGCTTTGTCATTCCATTTTAATACCAAATTGACTATTCTGAGCCCATTGCAATGCCTTGTAACTTATGTGATAAACCTGATAATTTCAATAATCCTACCTGCTATAATTTTGATAAGAGGTTATATCTATAGATCATATTAAGGGAAATGGCATCTTTATAACTATTAGTCCAACTCACAAATTGTTTATATAATCATAATTTATGTAAGTTAAATTCATATAATTTATGTAAGTTAAGTTTTCATCTGAAATGATTTATAATTTTAGAAGCACATTAATTGTGAGGTAAGAAAATCTAAAATCTGACTCAGGAAACCTAATAATCTGTAATTTCAGAAAGTGTCTATATTCTGTATTAATTCACCATAAGAAAAATGTATATAGTTGATTAAAATACTAAGGAAAAAATAAAGTTTCAGCCAAATATGAAAAATGAGACTTTTTATCAAAAGTATCAGAAGCAGAATTAGCAGTTAAAGTGGGTAGCTATGTGTGATCAGAAGATGAAAACTCACGTTTTTGGAATGAGGGTAGAAAGTGAGAAGTGATCTGTGGCTGATCCTTGGCACTCTAGAGAGAAGTGAGTAAAACACATGAAATTTTCCAGTGCACTTTTAGGGATGGTTGTATGATTGATTCCTGCTGGTCACAGCTTACACTAGATAGCACAAGGAAGAATGCAGAAACTAAAACCTGCATATGAGCATTACCAGTGCTGTTCTTCAGATTGCCTTTTGTAACTGGATTTATTTTATGGACTTCTTCTCAATACAGGATATAGAATATAGCCAAAAATTCCTGGATCAGCCAGTGACCTGACCAGGATGCTGAGATATATATATATATATATATATATATATATATATATATATATGAAACA